TGCATTAGTTCTGGTGATTGAAACGTTTTTGTACATTCATCGGATGGATTGCCACAGACAAACCTAAACCGCCGATGAGCCCCTCTATTCGATTCTCGTACAAGATGTTTCTCGATCATAATTCTACGAAACTTCTCTTTGTTCTATTGTTTCTCATGTAAACATGCATGCCAACATTAGTTTTCTCCGGTAATGGCAAGTTTATGATAGCTCACAGACAGAATACTAGAAATTATCTGGGTAACGATATCGATTGTGGGACATGTCATTTGTAGTTTAGATTTCTTGGAATTCGGAGTTCCCTGAAAATAACTGAAGTACCGTTGATGATTAATGTAGAGGTCTACAGATGATTTCGCGACTAGGCATGGTAAAATGCCTAACGAATAAGTGGATTAGGTGTCTTGTTTTCCAGTATGGGCTCCAAAGGACTTCATAATTGGTATGTTGGAGACATTGAAGAATATGGTAACTAGCTGACAGCGGCCACGTTCTTGTCTGCCACTTCATATCAGACCAGAATGCTTCGAAAGATAACTACACGCTGTAAATTGTGTTCTCTGTGGGTTGACCACAAAGGCCTGCTTTCTTCTCCCCTACTCAAATTAAACCATTATACAGTCTCACTTATGAATGTGGCAGTGATCAATGTTGCTACAAGACAGGGTTGGTCCAGCACCCAGCCTCACTATCTGGGGAATTATTAAAACAAGTGGATAAGTTTTGCGTTTTGAGCAGCTATATTTCGCCCGGTGGACGCATCACGGATGAAGTATCGGCTGGCATGCACAAATCGCGAGTGGCGTTTGTCAACTTAAGACATCTGTGGCGCCGTCGGGACATCCGGCTGTCCGTGAAGGGTCGAGAATATGCTGCAGTAGGTCGACCGGCTGCTACACATCGCAGAAACGACCAATAATAAACAGGATAAAAATAACCTGTCAGGTGTTTAAACGCGCTGGCTACGCAGAATTCCACGAATCTGGTGGGGTAGCCGGATGAGCAATGCTGAGGTTAGACGCAGAGTTTTGGGTAAATGCGGTCGCCGACTGGAGCAAGTGGTCGACCTCCATAGATTACGTTGGCTGGGACATGTGTTAGGCATGTCTCCAAATAGGTTGCCACGGCCTCATCCAAATGAACAGCGAAAATGGCAATAACCAGAACTGGCTCACAAAAGTCAATGGTTAATGGTTTCACGAACTAAAACTGAGTGATCAATAATGTTAACTTCACTGAGTTTTGTTCTACGATGATAATTTAGTGATTCGTCTTGATCTGCACTTTTCGAGTACTCAAAATTATCCCTGCCGTGTTCATTCACCGACGTTAGTAAATTTTCTTACCGTCGCTGTTCGTATCACGAGCATACTTTTTTTCGTATGAACAGTAATTTGTCAAAACGTTTGTGTTAACCCTGCTCAGATATGATTCGTCGTCGCAACCTGCGAACCCGTGCGGTGAAATTGTTCATTTTGGACGAAGCTGATGAAATGTTAGACAAGGGGTTCAAGGAGCAAATCTATGATGTCTATCGTTACTTGCCCCCTGGGACACAGGTTGTTCTTCTCTCCGCTACTATGCCTCACGAAATCCTCGAGATGACCTCAAAGTTCATGACACAGCCGGTTCGTATTTTGGTCAAACGGTAAGTTTGTAAAAATATCATTGTTTCCTGTTCTTTTTATTCTAAACGAAGTTCATTGATAAATGATGCGTCTGTTATTCCACGTGCCACAACCATCATCTGTGAGTTCAGTTTACTTTAGTTTTTACAACCATTAACCCGGACCCATTAATCAGTACATTTTTGATTCTTTAAGAATGGTGTCGCAATGCTCATCCTAATGGGTACGAAGTTGGACGTGGAATCCTTTTTGTTCTTTCTGGAACTTCGGTCGGTTTAATCATTACACACAATCCTGATTAAAATAACCATGAGAAGAGACCGGGTCGAGGCAACTGACTACATCTAGAGTGGGTAAATGTTTTCCTGAATCTGCAGGTCGAGGCAGATAAAAATGCAAGCAGTGATTGGTTAACGGGAGGCGTTGAAGTCAGCTTTTTATAGCGCACTGTCGTGGGATCTAAGACGACATCGTACTACTAAGTGAAGATCCAGGTACGTTACAAGCATTTCTGGATAACTCAAATGCCAGTGTAGCCATATTCGGTATGCGTTTTGCACCTTCAAAGTGTAAAATGTTACTA